ACCTATTCCGAATATTCGTGTTGCTAGTTACACACACACACACACACACTACAATTACTTACGTGCTAATACCCTTGGGAAAGGTATTAACCCTCCTATTCGCCATCGAGCTATGTGTAAATAGCAGGTCAGACTGGGTTCTATTGCCTTGGATGGCAACTGGTCTAGGAGAAGAACAACTCTGAATTCAAAACATGCAGAGGGTAGTCTGAGAACCTTGTGGCATGTAGTGCACTAGGCCTCTGTATTCAGTCTTTCAAAAAGTGTGGTTGGTTCTGCACAAAGCCTTCGCCACTAAAATCAAATCATATGTGCTGGTGTCTGGGATGTCAGTTCCTATGAATTGAGCTGCTTGACCTTCATATGTCGAATACGACGGGAGTGTCCACCATATATATTATTAATTAAACGTTATTTTTAGTGGATACTCTTGATGGTTGAGTCTCCACGGAACTGTACCACTCTTGAGGACTGAGTCACTGGAGAACTGAACCTCTCGAGGACTGATCATCTCGAGGACTAAGCCTCTTGAGGACTGAGACACTAGAAGCCCGTCTTGATGAATGAGCCTCTCGATGAGTAAGCCTCCTGATGGCTGAGCCTCTAGGGAACTGAACCTTTCGAGGACTGATCATCTCGAGGACTAAGCTTCTTGAGGACTGAGTCACTAGAAACCCCCTCGAGGACTGAGTTTGTCGGAACTGAGCCCTTCCAGGAAAAAAGCTCTCGAAGGCTGAACCTCTCGAGGACTGAGCCACTCAATGTTTGAACCTCTCGAAGGTTGAGCCTCTCGACGACTAAGACTTTTAAGGACATAACCTCTCGAGGACTCAGTCTCTCGAAGACTCAGCCTCTTGAGGACTCAGCCTCTTGAGGAGAAAATCTATCGAGAACTGAGACTCTCGATGGTTGACCCTCTCAAAGGTTGAATCTATCAAGTGGTCAGCCTCTCGAAGTCTAATCACTTTAACTCATTGAACTAAATCGGTATTTATAATAATCTTTTCGCTGTACCCGTTGGGATTTAGACATTTATTGCCTAAATTTTGGAATATTTTTGAAGATTTCAGTTTCATTTGGATATTACATTTACTTTCTAAATTTGTGTCGATTTGATTCAACTCCTTCTCTTGACAATATAGGTTCTACCTTACCCAGACGGATGACATTTCAATCAGAATTATTCAAACAGATAATCCGAGAGCTTTTTTCTCTCAATATATTTTCATTTTAAATTAAATTTTGAATGTTTTCCATTTAGAAAACCTAGCACATTAAATTATTTGCCTAAAATGATTATCATTCAATTTCTGGGTCTTTAATTCGGTTTTAGACCCTATGACTAGCGCCTTTTACACAGTTAAGCCAGACACTAAATAACCTATTGATATTTACTTAGTTTAGTCTAAAACCCAGTGAGTATCAAATTCATTACACGAATAAACCGCTTTTGTGACTGGGTCGCCAAGCAAGTGTCGCCCTCTAGAAACAAACTTTATAATAATCACGATGCAAAAGACCTTTTAAAGATATGTTTGATGGTACAAAATTTTATCACTGCCATGAATAGACAAAACTTAGTTTTATTATTACCACTCATGATAATAAAAAGTAAAAATGAAAAACCAGCTAGCTAACCAGTTTCGTACCTCGCTTAACAGCTAAAACGAGGTAAATAGAGTAAATTATATAATAATAAAAAGAACAATGGACAAAGTTTATTGGTGGGAAGAAAAAAAATTAAATGGTAATTAGTTGGAGGCCTAATATAAAGTCCTTCTGTTTACAAAGAAAAGGCTTTAAAGATAGAATATAGATGGCCTCCAACACTTTTAGGTGGTAAAAGCGTCCGCACTAAAACTAACAGCACAATTATGGCTATTTATAAGGTGTTCTGCGATGGAAGACCCATAAGTATTGGTCAGAATGTCCGAGGGTGTGTACTTCCGGTTTCGGGTTTTCGCGGGAACGTGTTGTTTTATTCTAGCATCCAGCCTTTGCGTCGTTCTCCCTTTGTAGTGCGAACCGCAACTACATTTAAAGAAATAAATTAGTGAACTATTATGGGGTGGTGGGAGAACATCCTTACGTATAGACGGAAGAACATTAGACCTTTTGTTAGTTTTCTTGAATCTTGGAAATCTTTGGCATCTCTGCGACGGCATGACATGTTGCGCTTTACTCTACGGCAGTACACTCTTGGTTTTGACGTTGGAAATTCAAATAAATTCTATCCTCTTTTTAATAATTAAAATACTTGCTATATAAACAATTTATCTAACTGTTCCGCTATAAAGTCTTACGATGGAAATAATGTATAGACAGTTGTTTTCAGACCCAAACAGAAAATCTATCGTCCATTCAAGACATTATCTTAACAACAGGCATATTTTTTTTATTATTTAGTATGCTTTTTGGATTCTGACTCGATAATCAAACTTTTAATTCTAAACGAAGAATAAATAAAGATATAGATTTTTGAAGATAGTTTTGCAGATGAAAATAAAAGTGTAGAACTTGAAAAATGATCTTCAAAATCAACGACCAACTTGACTGATTAATTATTTACAGATATTTACGTTTCGGACAATGCGCGCGTGCAATTAGCAAAATTAAGATAAGTTTAAGTGTTTGTGTTAGGATCATGGGTCAAAATATAATTCTAGTTGACAGATAGTTGTTCTATTTTGTGAACTTTGCAATATAAACAGTAAAACATTATCACTACTTATCAAAGTAATGTGATCAAGTAATTCATTCTTATTGAAAGCAATGGAGACGGATTTATTTTCGTGCTGGGTCGAATAACACGTGTTCTCTTTTTCATCCTTGATTTGTGCAAGTGAATTAGAATTAAAGAAATAGAATCTCTGTATCTATTTCCTTTTATCTGTTAACGTCAAATTGAAACAAATGTTGTTTTTTCTTTTTTTCAGAGATAAATTTAAACAACCACTCTACAAACACATTTGGTCAAGATGAGATTTAATTATAACCTAACTGAAGTAGACTTTTTTATGCAGGGAAGGTAGATATGGAAAAGTAATTTACCCAACTTTTCATACGCTCTGTCATTTCATTAATCAACTTGGCATACCAGTAACGAGAACGGAGACGATTTATGCCTTAACAGATGGCATTCGTACAAAGTGATCCCGAGTAACATTAGCGAAATTGAAATAGAACTGAGCAGATATGAACTTTCAAGAATCTGGATAGGATTTGCGCTTAAAGGGCATTGTTCGGCTTGGCTCGTATCGGTCTAAAGAACGTCAGATCGAACGACGGTTTCTCCTACAAAGGGAGACATAGGTTCGAATCCTGCCGTAGGGCGCATCTTTTTCTTTAATAAGATTTCTCGAATATTCAGGCAGGCAAACAAAAATGAATAAATAAAATGTTTAATAAACAAGCGGAGCGGCTGCCTGGTATTCACAAAAAACTTTTAAAATGGTGTGTGTGTGTGTGTGTGTATATATATATATATATATATATATATATATATATATATATATATATATATGCACGCACACACACACACACACACACACACACACACACACACATATATATATATATATTTAAAGTGGCAGTTGGAAAAAAAATTTGTTTTGTAGCCATATTTAGTCGTTTTTTTAAATTTTAGATTTGGTGTAACTATGGCGACAAAACATTTCACTTTCGTTGCTTGCCTTGATAAAGTCGAAAGACGAAACTCGTCGGAAAGAACTAAGAATTTTTTCCAATTTTCATTTTGAAACCAATTTATCTTAACTTCAGAATTATTCTGGGAGATACAACTATATATATATATATATATATATATATATATATATATATATATATATATATAAATATAAACATGGAAACGTGATTTTAGCTCTGTCTTTAAAACCCCGTAATTTTTTAAAAGTTACTCCAAAATTCGCTTGAGGATGAAATGGAACTAATGCTTTTAATTTAATTGCAAAATTAAATTCGGGGCTTTTAGCTTCTATTTTTGAAACATGGTTAGAACTGTGTAGCGGAAAAAACATATTTTAAATCAATTAATTTATAATATATATATATATATATATATATATATATATATATATATATATATATATATATATATATATACACCGTCGGCTCATTGACTGGCGGACCCTTTTCACATACTCCTACACGGAGTCAAATGGTTTCGCAGGCACTCATGACACGTTAAATCAAGCGTCTCTGCATTATTAATGTCTTCTGCATAAACTAATTGTTTTAGGTTGTCCCACAGATAAGAATCCAAAGGATTGATGTCGGGGGAAACGTGTCGGCCATGGAAACAGTCCTCCCCTACCTCTCCATCTTTCATGGTAGATATCAGCTAATGCATCACAAACAAGGTGACTAAAATGTGCTGGAGTCCTATCATGCATGAACTACATGCGACTTAGCAGGGGTACATCCTCTAGCAGATCTGGGAGTGTGTTCGAAATAAAGTCCCTGTAGACGGCTCCTGTAAGACGTTCTGGTAGAACATATGGATTTACTAGTCACCGACATTTCCAGTCCACACATTAATCGTAAACTGATGCTGGTTTCAAGCCTGTATTGTTCCATGAGGATTCTGATACATCCAGAAACTTCCTCAAAGTAATTGTTATTGTATTTTAATTAGAATGTTTTATTAATTAGAAAAATGATTAGCATTAAAATGGATGTTGGTACTGGAAGATGATGTCAGATATTTTTACAAGTATTTAATGAGTCATTTGGTTTTTACGACTTATCAACCTTTTGCCGATTATTTAAAGCCAGAAAATATTTTTAGAATGTAAGAATTAGGTGAGGTAATAATGTTTTACTGATAAAAGTCCTACTATTTAATCCATAGCTGGAGCGAGAAGACGTTTAGAAGAAGAGTGTTTGCGCGTTTGTGAATATAACGAATACGACTAGAATTGAAACACGGCTCTCCGATTTTTAATTTTGTGCCGATATTAATTACACACATCCAAGTTTATATCACCTGATATTCCCACGCGGTCACCCAACTAGGTACCGACCAGGCTCGTGGTTGCTTAACTACGGTGATCGAACGAGAACCAATGTTTCAATGTAATATGGCCGTAAGCCTTTAGATGTATTCTTGTCCTTCATGAGCCAAGGATCAGACAATTTTTCACATCGTTCTTGGGTTTATCACTGCGTTTTCGGCCTATACTTAGATCAGAATTGAATAAATCGATCACATCCAATGAAGCTGATTTGAAATATGAATAAATCAATCAAAATAACTCACCGAATAAAGACAGTGACAAATTTTGTCCTTTAAATAACAATTAAGTCTTGCAAGAAAATAAAGCGATTTCTGGAGGCGTGCAAACATTGGGATTTTGTTGGTTGATAGATTTTATGATTAATACTACAAAATAAAAATAAGTGACAAGGAAGAGTTGAACAATACAAATTGATCGTTGATATTTTCTGTTCAGAACTTTGAACAAAGATTTGAAATTTGAAACCATTTTCTATTTAGATAATAAATTCTGGAAACTGTCAAGCGTCGACTTTTTGTAAACAGCGTTCGCTCGACTTTGACTTGAAGCTGTGTTTGACTTGATATTTGATCAAATCTGAAACATGAATGACTTTGATTTCCACGGCATTTATTTGAGAGAGATTTTGTTGATTTTATTCGGTAGATTTATTTTTCTTGCAATCTTCTGTATTTTCCTTTCACTTTTCTTAATTACTCTTCTTGAATTCAGAAGACAATTTATTCAGTGAAATTAGCATAGTCTGACACAAGGTCAACTATATAAAGGCAGGGTTGAGAAGCGTGTAATAAAATTATTTTGTATTGATCTTACAAGAGACTAGCCTACCTTGAAAATCAGCATTTGAATGCTTGGATTTTATTTGTAATGAACCTCGGACACTAGTTTTAGGGCGAAATAGACAATGATATGTGTCATGAGGCGCATGTTATCAGAAATATTTGTAGGAAAGGAGTGGGAGAGAGTGGGGTAGAGTGGGAGAAAGAGAGGGAGAGGCAGAAATAGTATTCATTTTTCTTCTCTATTCAATACATCCCTTGAAGACGTGACTAAGAAGAAAAATTATTTATTTATTTAATTTATAAATAATCGCCAACGTTTAACAGGTGGCATCTTGTCATGACGGTTCCACTTCAAAGTGATGTGCTTACTTATTATTGTTTCTTGATACTTGACGATAAATAATATTATTTTCATGTCGTAAAACAAAACTATAAAAACTCATTTGATTTTGTTTATACCTCCGTTTCTATAATATTTAATTGAAAGAAATCTCAGTCTATGAAATTAGAACGCTACCGAGAGATATGGCTCTTCACACTGAGGCTGCTTCTCTAGTTTGGGGTTTAAGTAAAACATTAAGAAAAGCAAGGAATTAAATAAATCTAACAAAAAAAAACTAAATACCTCATGATAAAAAAAACTCTAATGTTAATTGAATTGAAAGATGCGCTTATTTTTCTTACATTTTTACTTATTTTCTTTGTCTTCTGATTGTTTTTTATCACAAGAAGCGTAAAATACGAATAAGGAAATTGGTACAGATAAGACTTACATCCTATTCTCTGAGATGTGTTTCATGGTCGGGGTTTTAATCAATTAGACCACGGAAGCATCATGCACTTAAATCTATAATCATATTTTCTCATTTTCCGCCCAAAATCTTCACACAATTATAATTCTGCTTGTTCCTTTTTCCCCTTAGCGAGTACGTTACGCCCTGTCATTGCCCCTAATAAACAATGAACCGTTCCTGGTTAATTGCGAGGATAGATGAAAGAAAATATATATAAAAAGATTTGTTTGGTTTTGGAGAAAGAAAAGAAAAGAAAAGAAAAGAAAAGAAAGGAAAGGAAATGAAATGAAAGAAAGAAAGAAAGAAAGAAAGAAAGAAAGAAAGAAAGGTAGATGAGGTGATAAGGTTCTTATGTGCTATGACCGGCATTCAGATGTATTATAATATTATCTTAATATTTTGTTAAATGTGTTAAGCTCAAATACTTAATAAGACAATAGGCGAATTTCCACAAGTATTTGATAGCCATGAAACTAGGAAGGGACTTATTCCCTCATTAACTTTTCCCGGGCATTGCTAGGTATTCTTTTGTTTTTACTTCCTGGTAACAACAGCGGTAATAGTTACTGTTTGTTTAACGACTTATCAACTCCTTATGTGTTATTTGATACTGAAATTTTCTTTTCTTTTGAGCTTTGGTAATCTTTTTCCAAAAAATGAATTTCTGGTAATTTTTTTAAATGTATTTTTATCATTTCCTGTTTGGACCCCACTTTCGGGGTTCACCCATAGTTTGGAACCCAGCAAATGCTACCACCCTGTGTGAGGATGGATCTGGGCACAACAGCAATTAAGAGATGGTTCCATGCTCTTGAAAACCTCCCAATCAATGGCCGTGTATTCTATCGTCATACCTAGGACGGAATATTCAGTGTAGCAGTAGTATTAACACCAGTCAGAGCAGTAATGCCGAAAACTCATTAGATAAAGAAATGACGTTTAATCTAAAGACAATAACAAAACTGATTTAGCGAAGAAAATCTTTAGAGATTGAATGGAAGGTGAAGAGAAAACTATTTTCGAATATTAATGTTTCTAGATTTCTCACGTCGCTGAGACATTATTGGCGGCCATAATCTTAGCAACATAAGGTATGAAGATGACACAGTGTTGATAAAAGACACAGAAAGAAATCTACGAAAACTCCTACAGAAAGGGATTGATGGAAAGTGAGAAGAAAGAATTAAACATCAACTGCAAAAAGACAGAATGCATAGTTGTTAAAAGGATGAGCGCGAATTGCAAATCAGATTTACCAAAATCAAACAAGTGCAGAAGTTTAAATATCTGGGAAGTTTTTTTAACAGAGGACGGAACGTGTGTGACTGAAATCTGAAATTGTATTGCGACAGCCAAGGAAACATTTCAAATGCTAAGCAGAGTAGTAAGAAATAAGAACATTTTGCTAGAAACAAGAGTACTAAACTGCTATGTGATATCTGTCTTTCTCTAGTCTGTGAGTACTGGACGATCTCTTCAAATATGGAGAGGAGACTTGAAGCAATAGAAATGTAGTTCTATGTTGATGCATATACATTTTATTCTGAGTAATTTCGATATTAGCACAATTTCTTATCAGGATCTTGTTTTTTCGAAGAAAAAAAATGTGTTCATCATTTTTCTACGGCAAAATTCTTGTGTTCATCTGAATTTTTTTTTTTACATGTGACGTGAAAAACACTAAGGTTATGCACGGTAAAAATTTAAATTTTACCATGTAGGCTGATGAAGACATTGTTCTAATGTCGAAAGTACTCGGAATAAAATGAATATGCATCAAATTGTAATTTTCCTTCTTCCTTTAATAAGGATACTAAGAAACTTGTCCGTAATTACAAGAGGATCTTATTAAAAATAAGTAAACGAAACTTGTTTAAATTATTTAATGCCATACACGCACACACACATATATATATTTTAAATTAATAATATATATATATATATATATATATATATATATATATATATATATATATATAAATAATAGTACAAATAAACATATTTAAACTAAGTACTAGTTCAAAGTTTTTTAAACAATACAATCAAAAGATAAAAACTTGTAGAATAAAGTCTAACCTGGAAGAATATCATTTGTTGTTTTCATAGAAACTGTAACTTTAGCCGCCAATTAGGCGTTGTTGTTTTTAATCAAATGTAAATAATTGGACAAATTACCAGGAATCGTATTGTACCTTTTTTTCAGAGGTCAATCCGTGCTGACGAACTGGAAAGCAAATTTTAAAAATTCTGTCAATTTTGTTCCACCAATATAATTATATATTTCGTCCATTACTTTTTGATATTCTATCTTTCTACACCCCCCCCCCTTTTTTTTTTTTTGGTCTACATTCCTCCGTCTCTCTTCATATATTTCTTCTCTCATGGCTTTTCTTTCTTTTTTTTTTTTTTTTTTTTTCCCTTCTGCATTTTTTTCTTCACATCTTCTCTTCCTCTACTTTAGTTTCCCCCCCACGTTCCTTCCCGGATGATATTTCTCGGTCTGAAAGCATAAATGAGTCTATCTCCGAAGATCCGAAGAGCGGGATTGTACAAACATTCTGATCTTAGACAGAAAAACGTAACAGCCATACAAACAAGCGGAATAAACAAACATATGTGCGTGTTGTGTAATGGTTAAAGAGTTGGCAAGAGGAAGCGGCATGCAGAGTTCGAATTCCGAACAAATTCATTGCGTTCACTTTCACACCAATACCCTTGACAAAATGAAAACTCCATCTCTTATTTCCACAAGTGTAGTTTAAATATCAGAATGGTATTTAGTCTAGGACAACCAAACTAAAGAGCAGCAGATTCCACCAGTCTGTCTTGCCATTGGTACACCAATACAGCAGTACATAATCTAAGGTGCCCTTAGACCCTAGTAGCTTCAGGAATTTATGGTGTGACGTTAGTGCCAAAACTTGCCTAATAATTCTATCCTTTTAGTACAATGGGAGATATTGATTAAATGATAGATCCCTATGAACTAAACCCATGTACCTAGATTTAACAAAAAGGCAAGAAAATTAGTGGAGGTAATTTTATTTAGATGCCATAGTACAAGGTCCGGATTTAGGCCTTAAGAAACCCTTGGGACTAATAAAAGATTTTTGTCTGGGGTGGTCTACATTACGTATTTTCACACCCCACCTACGTGTTTTTAAAAAAAATATTGCTCGATGAAACTACATCAAAAATCTATATGTATAGAAAATGCATAATAATATTAATGGAGTCCCTTGAAGGGGGTTCCATCGAATTTAAAAGACTCACTCCAACTAGAGAGGACCCAAATACTCTAAATCGTTTCAAATTAGTTTAAATGAGCCCCATTAAATCTAAAAATAAACAAATCTCCTCCGATCTTATATATTTATTTTTGTTTAGTTTTATCAGGGGTCCAAGACTAGAGGAAATCCTCTAGTTTGGGGACCCCGGGTTGCAGCCCATAATAGTTCGTATAAATCCGGCTCTGTATATCACGTGCTTTTGTGTCG